CCATCTTGTGCAGAGTTAGCCTGAACCATACGACAAGTGGTCGGGCTGTTGTATCCTGGAGGGGACAAGTCATAGTTTTGTGACTGCTGCATCGGTATTGGGGTTCTTCCTACCGTAGTGGGCTCGATCTCCTTAAAGAAAACGAGATATCCGTGCCTCAGCTTGATCTATTTGTATCTCATTTTCTTTGCATCATTTATCAATAAAATATAAATTTTTCTGGTATATTCACCAACAATTTTAAGGAGATCAAACATGGAACAAGTACCAGAAAAAATCAATGATGGAATTGGAGATCTCAATAAGCCTTTCAAGTTCAAGGGAGTTCATTTTAAGAGGTGGAAAGGAAAAGTTCTTTTTTACCTTAGCCTTTTGAAAGTTGCATATGTTCTTACCGAAAAGAATCCAAACAAAATCCCAACCGAGGAGATGAATGATGAAGACTACGAGGCACATGAAGCAAAAGTGGCTTTCTATAATACAGATGAGTATAAATGTTGCTTTCATCTCTTAAATTTCCTTGTTGATTAATTTTATAATTATTACTATGACACCACATATATGTTGTCTTCTATTAATTTTTGGCATGCTCGCTTGTGTCATATAAATAGTAAATATGTGGATGTTATGAAACTATAAAAGTTTGCAGTTTCAAAGCACATACCTATTTAACACTCTTATCACTCATGTTATGAAACTACAAAAGTTTATAGTTTCAACGCACAAATCTATTCAACAATCCTTTCACATTCATTACACTAACAATCATGTTATGAAACTGTAAAAGTTTGCAGTTTCAAACAACATATTTTCAACACTTAACTCACATTACTCACAGTACAAATCATGTTATGAAACTGACCAATTTTATAGTATTACTGATTTATGCCACATTATTCCAATGCAGGTTGACCAAAGTGCTTTAACCCCAACTGAACAAGAAATACAGTTATTGCATATCAATCAAAGCACATCAACAGACTCTTCAACAAAGAAACATGACCACAAAAAGGACAATAAGCGAAAAAAGAAAACAAAAACAACAAAAAAAAAGACTTCTAGACAGTGATGAGGATGACTCTCGAAGAAGAAGAACATCAATTAGAATCATAATCAAAACAAGAACAACAACAAAAAAAAAAAAAAAGAAAGCAAGAACCACAAGAAGAAGCAGAAAGTGATGAACAAGAAGAAGAGAGTGATAAAGAAAAAAAACAAGAGACTAAAGAAGAAGAAAAAGCTGATGAACAACAAGACAATGATGAAGCAGAAGAATAAGAAAAAGAAGAAGGTGATGAACAAGAAGACACTAATGAAGAAGAAGGCCAACAACAAGAACAAAAAGAAGAACAAACAAACCAACAACAAGAAGTCAATAAACAAGAACTGACAGACCAACAACAACAACAACATGAAGAAAAAAAAAAGAGCAAAACAACAAGAAGAAAAAAGGACAGAACAACGAGAAGAACTCCAAGAGAAATTTGACACATTTCATGCACAAAGTAAACTCTTGTCTAATACTGAAGCAAACTGCAAAATTTAATTAAACTAACCAAAACACAATCCAACATTTTTTATGGGTGATGACCAAGCACAAACATCAACCAAAGAGGACAATAAGGACAAACTCATAGCAGCCATGAGAGCACAAATGCAAGAAATGGAACAAAAATTCATGGCTGAATTGCGTAGAAAAGAAGACCAATTGAAAAAAATGTCCGCCAAAAAAACTGGAAGTCCCCCAACAAAGATCAATGGTCAAGAGAATCAAACAAAAGTCAAGAAAACAAGCACATAAGCCAGATTTTGAATACCAACTAATGACAAAAGTCAAAAAAGATACAAGGAACAAGACAGAAGTTGCTACTGATGTACCCAAACCAACAGAGGGTACCGATGAAGAAAAAGAGAAAAAAAATGAAAAGAAAAAAAAAAGAAATCGAAACAGAGAAAGAACCAGCTACTAAATCCGAGCAAAAAGAGGGTGCTCATGAAGCAAAACAACAGCAGAAAGAAAAGATGAAAGAAGATATTGGCCAATAGAAAGAAGGTGTTGCTAAAACCAAGCCAAAAGAGGATACCAATCAAGAGAAGACACAAGTTAAGTGATGATGATTTCAAGGAAGAATCAATACACAACAAGCCACTCGTCATTTCATGTCGCAAAACAAACAAGATTTGGCATAGCCTATCCAAAAAAGACCAAGACCAAATTCAACTCATCAACAACACACAATCAAGTGCTTGTGTCTGGTCTGGCAGCGAAGATGAAAATTGTATATACTTTTCAGATATATGCAAATTGACCAACAGGGAAGCCTTATATGGGAATGTAGGTCTCCAACTGCACAATATTACAGTTTCTGTTCATATTCAATAACTTATTCCACAAACCTAACACATTATCATATATAACATGTTTCAGGTCATTGATGCCTTTGTCAAAATGAAATTGGCACTCCAACCATCAATTGAAGAATTTGATAAACATGATCTAGCCTTTGCAAGAAATCCATACGCGAGAAGATCTTACATTTTCTCAACATTCATCAATGTAAGCAAAACTTAACATACCTTTCAATATTATTCAAACTGCAAAATTTTCTACTTTCTTAACATGTCTTACTACATAGTTTTATAACATATTTCAAACATATATAAATTACAGACTCCATTACAAAACCAAGATCAAGCATTGAATGAAAAAATGATGGACAGCCATTTTCCAGAAGCAATGAAAAACAGATATATTCATTTCCCAATCAACCACAACAACCGTTGGACAATTGTGGTCTTTGACAATACTGATGGGATATGGAGGCACTATGACTCTTTGAGGCCAGCAAAAGATTGCCATAACAAGCACTTTGAAATTGTAAAGGAAATTATAAGTTAAATAAAATTTCCTACTTAGTTTCATTCCTTTCAAAACATCTCAGCACATCACTATAACTAACAAAAATACCCACTAACTATTTTGTAGCAACAACATCAACTGAGATGGAATAAAGCATTATTCAGCAATCAAGGAAACATGTTATCATCTCTAGAGTGCGAGACAGTAATTGCATCAATTGAGAAATGCCCACAACAAACTCCACACTCGTAAGATACAAACTCAATAACTAATATTCCAATATGCTAAATTTTTCAGTTTTACCTAACTAATTAACTTCATCTAAAACTTTGCAGGAATGATTGTGCAATCGCAGTCTGCAATGTTATCAACAAATATATCACCTGGCAATCTGTGTAAAAATCACTTTGACCAACTGAATGGGTCAAATTTCGAGCAAAAATCATCAGTCAATTCCTCAACGATAAGAACCGATCTTGGAAACTCGAGCACTACCAAATGTTAACAAAACATACCAAACCATAGAAACAATGAACAAACTTCTTGACAATACAAATGCGCAAGTGAACATATTTTTGTACTTTTTTTTTTTTAACATGTGACAAGTATTTTTTATGCTTTTGGGAATTGATCTTCTTGTGGTTATTATGGTGAAAATGATTGTTGTCATTGATGTTGTTGTTTCTCTTCTTCTTGTTATTATTATTGCTGTTGTTTTTCTTGTGCTTATCATACTTGTTTGTGTTCTTCTGCTTATTATTGTCGTCACATTTGTGGTTGCATATATTTTCATACAGTAAAAGTTGTTTCTAATAATTCTTCCAACTGCAAAAAAATGCAGCTTCATCAAGTTGTTTCTAATAATTCTTAAAACTGTAAAATTATGCAATTTCATCAGGTTGTTTTTCATAATTCTGAAAACTACAAAATTATTCAGTTTCATTACTCAAACAAAAATTATGCTACACAATTATGCATCCAATTTCATGACTCAACAAATAGATGAATTGCATTTCAAAATTGAAATTAAACTGCAAAATTTTACAGCTTTGTCACTACGAAATATGAAATAAATATATCACGTAGTAAAACTGCATTTCAATATTATACAGTTTCAATAAGAAATTTTCAACAACCTTCTCAGAATTCCACAAAAATAAAACCTACCAAATCAATAAAAAAAACAAAACAAAACAAAACAAAAAACAAAAACAAAAATAAAAACAAAAACAAAACAAAACAAAACTGTTACAAAACAACTTCAATAACTAAATAACACATCAAAAAAGAAAAAAAAAAATGCAACCAACTTTATTCATTACTTCCATAATACCAAGTATCACATTTTATTATCATAATTCCTTAACTTCAAATACAAATCCGAAAGAATAGACTATGGCCTCAAATAGAAACCTTGCACGTCTTCTTATTGTGATTCTCATATTTCAAGCACCTCCCACACTTGATTTGCTTCACATTCTCACCCCTAGAAGGTATCCTCTTCTTCTTGCTCCACCCGGGCTGCTTCTTCGTTATAGGAGGTTTGATAATCGAACTACCGGCACCATCAAAGTCAAATCTCTCACTTAAAAGCACTAGATAAGCAAATTCCTTGTACGACTCTTTAAAACAATCCACATGAAAAAAAATGATCAATGAAATCATACACATCTCTACCACTACTACGCAAAGCATACATAGCATGATAACAAGGAAAACCATTCAATTTCCATTCGTGGCAAGAACAAGTCCGTCTACCAATATCAACATAAAAAGAAATAGAAGAATGAACCTTAAGCATAGTATCACTAGCATAAATCACATCCCAAGACTTGGCAAGCTTCAAAGAGTCCACCAACTTCTTTTCCATAACTGGATACAATTTCGTAGTCCATCTTTTAGATTCAGCTATTCTATTAGACAATTGAGTTATGATTTGAACCCTAATCATATCAACCATACAGGTAATAGGCAACTCACGGGCCCCACCAATCCAATTATTGTAAGACTTGGCAGCATTAGATGACATCTCACCATATCGTTTCCCTCTAAAAAATACATTGGCCCACTTATCATTTTGCAAGCTATCCAACATACTATCAACTTTACCATTTACAGCAATACATCTCAATTTCTCCATTTAATGTTGGAAAGAAGCAACAATTGGTGCATAAGCACATTTAACTAATATTTTCATCAAAGTCAGCTTATAGTTAATACGAAGTCCCACCAATTTGTCAATCAAATTTCTCTTCAAATAGTTCAAACAATATGCATGATGTACATTGGGAAAAATCATTGAAAGAGCGTCTAACAATCCATATTGACGGTCAGACACAAAGGTCAATCTCCGGCCTGAACCAACAGCCTTTAACAACTGATTTAAGAACCACATCCAATTATCTTGATTTTTAGCGTCAACAATCGCAAAAGCCAAAGGAAACAGGCCTGAAAACAAAATAACATGAAACTGCAAAAATTAGCAGACTCACACACAGACAAATCAAAACTATACTAACTGCAAATAAATACATACCTTGATTACCATCCTTTGATGTTGCTACAAGCAAATGCCCCTTGTAACGCCCCTTCAAGAATGTACCATTAACAAACAACAACGGACGACAAAATTGAAAGCCATACAAATATCCATGAAATGCCACAAATAACCTCCGAAAACACCCATTACTTTCATCCACATCTAATTCAAATACACTTCCAGGATTCGTTCTCATACCCGTCTCAAGGTACCATCGAAGTTGGTCAAAAGAAGTTGTAAAATCACTAAACAACCCACCTCTTGCCTTATCAACTCCTAACCATGCAACCAGATAAAAAACATCTATACCATATTGTTTTTTCAATTTTTTTTTAACTTCAATAGGACGAGTCAACGGACTATCACTAATATCATTATGCACAATATCAGACACAAGTCTAGAACCAACCATTTTGCTACAAGATCTACAAGCAACAACCCCACAAGTATACACATTATCCAACTTTATAATAAAAAAACTGCCGGAATTCATCAACACCCTTCCATGCACAAACCATTTACAACTCGTAGATGACTTCATCATACATTCAGCAATTACTCCTGTTGCATCGTTCTTTAAATAATTCACTGTAAAACCACACTCAACTGCATACTTAGCCAATGCAATGCGGAACGCCGGCACTCTACCTTCAAATTCTTGGCCAACACTATGTATAATCCCCTTCCAACTAGTAGACAACAAAACTCTCTCTGGTTCTGGATAAAAACTAGGCAACAAACCACCAAAATCATCACAATCGTTAACCAAAGAACTCTCACAAATTACAGAATCAATCCTACAAGAATTATCATCATCAACCTCCACAATTCTCTTATCACCCACAACAACATCAACAACATGACAACCACTACCACCTACCATTGACAGTATATTCCCCAAATCATCATCACATTCAACAATACAATTAGAATATCCAGGAACAGAGAAAAACAAACAAAAGTTACCAACACTCAACTCCTTGAACTTCACACATA